TATCAATCTCACTAAAAATCCCATCCAACATTCTCCTATTAAATGTGACAATACTAGTGCTATCAATCTCACTAAAAATCCCATCCAACATTCTCGCACCAAGCACATAGAAATTAGGCACCATTTTATTAGGGATCATGTTGCTAATGGTGATGTTGATTTATTATTTGTTGACACTAAAAATCAATTAGCTGATATTTTTACAAAGCCTATTGATCGTGATAGGTTTTTCTTCATTAGAAATGAGCTTGGTATGTTAGATCCTAGTACTTGATATGATTCTTGAAATTAATGAATTTGCTTATTAAAATTTGTTCATATTGATTACTTTGATATGTGTACCTTGATTATATTCATGATATTTGATGATGCATACATTGATATATGACTAAAGTTGCATTATTTAGTAGTTGATGTCCAATTTAAACTTAGTTAAATGAAGAAATATCAAATTAAGACGCATTGTCTTCAAAACAGCCTCAAACTTTCTGTTTGTCCCAATCAAGGCCAGTAGAGCCGGCTCAACCATTTTCACAGCTGGCTCAACCCAAAAACCCGAGAGTCTTCTCTCTCTAGAATTAAGTCGGCTCCAGGGCTAGAGCCGGCTCTCTTGCAAATTTTTAAAGCCTCGGGTCTCTCTCTCCTTGCACAAACCAACCCAGATCTGTTTTATTTCTCACCCAAACCCGCGACCTCTCCTCTCCCAAAACTCGCCATTCACTCTCCCAAACACCAAAATCCCTCCAAATCTCCAAACCCCATCCCTTAAACACTCAAATACCATCAAATCCTTGCCTACCCAACACAAATCCACAAGCTTTTTGTTCCAATTTCGGTTGGGTTTTGCTGAGTTCTCTCTCTCATGGCTTCAAGAAGGGGCGGAAGCAAGAGGAAACAGATTGGGAGTTCTAGTGTCGGTGGCCAAGCCCAGGAGGAAGGTACCCTTTATAATACCTCTCTATTTTGGGATGATAATGCCTTCAATTAGTACAATTTTGTCAAAAATTTGGTTGTGTTACCACGCAACAATGTGAAGTTTAGTCAGTTTCCTCAAAGGAATATGCATGTAGAAGAGATTTTTAGGGAACTTGGGTGGAAGGATTATGTAGAAATTAAAGAGCTTGTGTACTATGAAGTTGTTCATCAATTTTATGCTAATTTGAAACCAAGGGAATAAATGCAAAGCCATGGTTGTTGGGGTGTCGTTTCAGTTTTCACCAAGGGATATTTGTGCTGTATTAGATATACCTGAAGGAGGAGATGATGAGTTTCAAGATGTAAATCATGCCTTAGTTAGAGCAAGAATTGTCCCCAATTGAACTGAAAATCAAATTAAAGTGGGGTTTCTTACACCAGAAAATAGAGCACTACGGTGGATTGTATCTCGCATTATTGCTCAGAGAAAGGGGTCAAAGTCTTTTGTAATTGCTAGTGATCTTCTCTGCTTCGACTATCTTCTTAACGGAAAAAGGGTGAATCTTGGAAGATTCATTTTCTGGAGCTTAATCAAGAATTACTCCTCTGATATGGGTCTTCCGCATGGTGCATTGATTACTAGGCTAGTAAAAAGGAACAACATTGATCTTGAATCTTTTAAGCATGGGAGAATTAAAGCTGGGACAACTCTCACTAAAGCATCCTTTGAAAAAATGCAAGTTGTGTTTCGGAATGGTAGTTGGACGAAGAAAGGGGATCAAGCAATGGAACAGCAAGATGATGAAGAAGAAGGTGATACATATCAAGAAATGGTAGAACAAGGGGAAGAAGAACATGGAGGTGATAGCCCAAGACCCTTTCAAGCCTCCATGCAAAGGACAAACCGCGAAACCATGGAGCTAATGATATCTGAGATACGGTAGCTGCACATCGACTTTTATGGTTTCCGGAGAGAAATGAGAGGGAGAATGGATACCATGGATGGAAAGATGGATCAGCTTGTTAACCATTTTTTTCCTTCACCCCCACCTAGTGCCACCTAACTTGATATTTCTTTAGTTTGGCTAATTTTTAGGATGGACATCTTAGGTTTATGCATGTTAAGTTTATCTATGTTTTTCTTTATCTTGAACCTTTTATCATGTATTATGAATTCTCATGGCACTTGACTTTGGTATGATATAATCTTTGTGGTATGACTTGTGTTGATATTGGCATGACTTTTGATATTGATTGTCTATGATTTTGATGATTATATGCTCTTATTAAGGGGGAGCTTATTGGTTGATGATTGTATTCATGACTTTGGTTGTCTATGGTGCTATATTGATGATGATTGATGATTATATTCATTACATATTCTTGATGCTTTAAAGGTTGATAACATGAATTAAAGGGGAGTTTATTGCTTATGTTTATATACTTTTTGATGAATGACAAAAAGGGGGAGAAAGTGTGCTAAATTCTCAAAGTTTTCTGGAATGTCTTAATGTCTTAATGTCATTTTCTTGGTGCTGAAATTTTGAAGTTAATATTGAAGTATATATGCTTTCATGATTAAAGTGTTTTGTCATTATCAAAAAAGGGGAGATTGCTGTACCTATGATTTTGATGATTACAAAACACATTTGAGTGACTAATTGATTTATTTAAGTGTGTAGTTAAATTGCCAATATACTGCAAAGTAAGCAAAATGAGATTGCACTAAAAAAGGCTCAAAGGGTAAAAATATGCAGAAAGCCGGCTTAGGAAAATTGCAGCCGGCTTTGGGAAGAAAAAATGCAGAGAGCCAGCTGCAGATTTTGTTGAGACCTACAAGCCAGAAATTCAACTGCTGTTTTGGCGTGCGTGGAAAATGGAAGCAAAGCCGGCTCCAATTTTGTAGCCGCCTGTGAGGGCGCATTTAATGCACAACGGTCGACTTATTTGAAGAATATTTAATGTATTTAAAGTCGGAGTTCCAAAGCTGGCTCAAAGTTTTGCAGCCGGCTCTCGAGAAAAACAGAATGGGCTGCAATCCTGCTAAGCCGACTGTGGAAATGGTAAGCCGACTGTGGAAATGGTAAGCCGGCTCTAGGAAGCTGAGCCGGCTCTCTTGACAATCCTGCAACTCAAGCTTTGCGTCCTGCAGGGCATTTAATGACCCCTATTTTTGGGCAAGGGACTATAAATATGGTTGGTAACAGATCTGAAGAAGTTTAGAGAACATTGCATTGAATATCTTTACCTACCTACTTGAGCTTTAACTTGAGTTTTTTGATCTTTGAGTGATCATTACTTGTAATCCTCTTCTTGTTCTATTAGTGTATGTTCTTGGGGGTGTGATTATTCCTTCAAGAGTAATCTATTGAGAGGATTTGTGGGGTTTACATTGTAAAGGGGTGAGGTTTGAGAGAAATACTCATATTCTTGTAAAAGGATTGAGTGGCTCCTTTAAGCCATCCTTGTCTTTCTTAGTGAAGAGTGTGGAGGAAATCCTTGGTGAGTGAAGCCAAGGTAGAGGACTAGGCTCCAAGTGGTTGGACCGAACCTCCATAAATTCATTGTGCAAGCTCTTTTTCTCTACTCATTGTGCAAGCTCTTCTTCTCTACTTTCTTTAACTTTGTTTTTGTGGTTGAAAAAGGGGAGAATTTTTGGAACTCCAATTCACCCCCCTCTTGGAGTACATTGAGTCAACACTTAAGTGGGGACAAATCAATAGAGTGAGATGGATGAAACTGTTGTTGAAATTGTGCTTCCATTTTACTAGCTATGAAATTCCTAATTTCATCTTCGAACGTCAACCAATTTGCATTATCATCTTCAAGTCTTCTAATGTGATTTATTTGTCACCTTTTAAAAGCAACAATAAGGAAGAAGCTAGAGTTACGATGAACAAATTTAATCTAGTTGACTCCAAAGTGTTGAAACCGGTATGCCTCTTCCTTCCCCCCACAGATTATCAAGTTATTCTAACAATAGCTTTTGTTGTTGCATATTACCTGTGTCAGGTGGCAAACTTTGTAGAAAGTCAATTCTTGAAGTAAACTCACTAATCTGTTGCTGGGGATTATCACATAAGGACTTAATCCATTCAATCAAGGTTTTCTTGCAATTCTTTTATTTTTTACAAAGCTTGAATTGATTAGAGCCAGAATTGCTCCCTTGCCAGCCTTGATTAATTGATCCAGATAACTATCCTCTAATGTCCACTTGACTTCATAACAAAACCACTTTTTGAATATTTTTGGGAAAAGCATCAATGCATAAACTAAAGGGTTATGGTCTGAACCTATTTTAACCTAATGAAGCAATTTAGAATGGGGGAAGGATTTCCACCATTCATTATTTGTTGAAGCAAGGTTAAGTCATCTTTGAACTACTGCAGATCCTAATCGTTTATTAGTCTGAGTATAAGGACAACCTTTGAATCCCAAATTCATGAGATAGCCCCATTGAATAAAACGATCAAGATGAACAAAATTAGATGGAGCAGTTAGAGGATTACCACAGTGCTCATTTTGATATTCTATTACATTTAGGTCCCCCATCACAAGCCATGGAAAATTTGTACTCCAAGCAAATCAACGACAATCCTCCCAAAATTGCCTAAATTCGGCCCTATATGAACATCCATACAAAAAAGTGAAATACCACTCATCATTTCTAGAAGAGTCCAAACAACACCCATCAAAACCATAATCAAATTTCTCAAAGATCTAAATTGAAAGATCATCCACATATGATAACTTTTGTTTAGTTTCCATCATGAAAACTATATCAAGCCGATGAAGGAAGCACAGTGACTTTAATTGCCTCACAATGAGTCTCCTCCCCAACCCTTGAATATTTCAGCCAAGATACTCATAATTGAAACTCTTCATTTGATTCCCCAAAGGTAGTGTTGTAAACAAATAGTAGCTAGTGCAGGAAATTATGGCTTGGGTGAAAAGAAAGGGGAAAGACAAAGAGAAGAACAAAAAATTTGAATATATAGGAGGGTGTGAGTGACAAAGAAGTAGAGGAAACCAGACAAGAAACATCAGATGGGAAAGAGCACGTCAGCTTAGAAAACTCTAGAAGCTCACTGAGCTTTAGAGAACACCATAGACTAGTTATCTTTCTAACTCTTACTATGCATGTGGTTTAATTCTTCTAAGCAATTTCATGTCGCTATAGCTAAATGCTTACTTTTCTTTCATCCTTCCAATCTTTCCCATTTTCTTTATTTGGTTATAGTCATTCCTTCATCTTATTTCATTCTTTCATCCATCCCAAGGTTTTGTTTTTTGTTTTTTCCATTAATCATCCAAATTACTTTAATAATATACATGATCATTTACTAATAAATATTTATATATATATTTTACGGATTTGTAGATTATATATATTAAGCTTACCAAAAAAAAATGTTTTGAGGTAAATTCTAATTTTATATGTAATTAATGTTTTAATATTATTTCCTTTTATCTTAAAAAAATCATAATGTAGAATAATGTTTTTTTTTTTATAGATTTAGCTTCTTTTTATGAGGTAAATTATTTAAAATTTAACTTTCTTTTTCATTACTTCTCATATTATTTAATTTGAACAATATTTTAGTTTTTATTTTATTTTGAAATTTATTATTTTAATTATACATATTGTTGTGGGATATATGATTTTATCACTAAATTTTGTTTTTACAATTTTAATGACAATACAGTAATAGCAAAAAAATATATATTTAATTATTGATTTTTCTAGAAACTTTATTTTTTTTATTACTAAACTAGATATAATTGACAGTTAGTGGTTGTTGATTAAACCACTATAATTGATGGCCATTAAGCTGTTGATTATATTATTAGTTTTTTTTCCAACTTAATCGATGGCCATTTGGCCGTCGATTATACTTATAACTGACAACCATTGCTTGTCAATTATAGTGGTTTAATTGATAACCAACAACCTATTGGTCCGAATGGAAGGAGCTCAATTCCCCTTAAATAAGATCTTAAGTTCGAATCTTGTAGATGGAGAAATAGGCATTGGGAGAGCTTCCCCCCAAATGGAATCCGACACAACTCGATTCCGGATTAGTCGAGACCCAATGTAGTTATCGGATATTGAGAGGTTAGTAGGTTAGTACCAAAAAAATAGTGGTTTAATTGACAAAAAATATTTCTATTGATTATATTTAGTTTTTACTCTCATTTTTTTGGCAGTAATAGCTGTTAGATATGTCTATCAGTTATAAGTATAACTTACAAAATACCCTTTATAATTGATAGAATTTTTCGTTAGTTATACTATATTTTCTAGTAGTGCATTATCAAGCTTGATTTTAAGAAGTAACTTCATTGTATAATCTAAAAAATATGCTCTCAAGTTAACATTACATGTTGCTTAAGGGACTAGTATGTCACCATCATATTCAAGCATATATTAATGTCAAAATATATCAAATGTTTCAAATAATTAAAGATAGGCATACATACCCCCTTGAATCAAATATATATAACAATGAAAGAGATCATTTTCTAATTCCATTTGTAGAAAAATTGTTAATCAAATTCATAAGGGATTATAACACATGAAAAATCACTTGACTATATTGGTACTTATTCATTGTAATGAATAAATAAAAGTTAAAACTTAAGTAAGTTCCTCTGCTTTGGCCCTGTTTAGTAAAATAGTTAAAATTTAGTGGGTAATGCATAGTAGAAAACGATAATGGGTAGCTAATAGTAGATAATAAATAGCGTATGTTAATAGTTATAACTTTTTACTTATACAATGGTTAGTAGTTATTGTATGATGTTAAATGAGTAATAAAGACAAATTTAAAATCATTTAAGTATAATTTTTTCTTTTTATATTTTATATTATTAAATTATTATTTTATAAAATTAATAACAAGAAAATAAATAAATACATAAATAAATAAAATATAAAAGTGTGAATTACACAAGCATTTCTATTTAAACAAAGAAAAAATTGTACGATTTTCATATATAGACAAAACAAACTTTTTAATCATTATGTTAAATTACCAAATTTTGCATATTAAAGTCTATATTGAGTTTGGTTATGGTTTTTATTTTAGATAAAAAAAACTTGCTTACTTTGAATTGATTTTGTAAAATGTTATCATGATTACTAGAAAAATAAGAATAAAAGTAATTTTAATTCTATTAGACAAGTTTATGTTTTTTATTGTTAGTGTTAAAACTTGTATTAAACAAATTGTTAGTTCTTTAATTTTTTAGTTTTGGTTTTTAATAGTTGCAAAATTTATGAAAACTAAAACTAAAATCTAAAAACTAAAAGTCACAACTATACTAAATGTAGTCTAAGCTAATATAAATTTTCTATGATAAGTTAATATAAAAAATAAAAATATAATAATCACTTAATGTTATTAAAGATAAAAAAAAAAGTCAAAATTGATTAGATAATTGTAGTTTATGCTAGAAAATCCAATAGTTAAAATTGATAAATTTATTAATAAAATTTAAAATTTTCAATTTACTAGCAATTTAAGTGTTAATTGCTAAATGAAAAATTTTACCAACACTTCATTCATAACGTTTTAACAATAAACAACTTCATCAAACGTTTTTTTCTTAAATTCCAATATGAGTTAAAACACTAATTGTTACTTTTAAATTGCTATATCAAACAAGCCCTTCATGTTGAAATGGAAGTTACCTTTGTTATCAAGATGGTGAGATTGAATAGTATTTTGTTGAAGAAAGTTTGAGACTAGTGTGGGTGGTTGGTCAAACAATAATCCCCCTTGCCATATTTCACCATGGTTGGTAAAACTAGTAAAATTTTAATAAAATATTGTTTATTACAATCTAAACTTAAACATAATTTAAAATAACAATAGAGAACTAAAATTTAATTTTATATCCATAACTCAAATCCACATATTGTTAAAAAACTAAACTTAGTTAAATAATTAACAATAAAGAACAAAAAATATGTGCCCAAAAAATGAAGAATGAAAATAAATAAAATAACAGAATGAAAGTTTTTTAAAGAAGATGTTTAGGTTTTGGTTAAATCCTCATTTTGGTCCCTGAACTATTGTACGGACCCCCAATTTGGTCCCTGAACTAAAGAAATCCCTGATTTGGTCCTTAAACTATTGTACAGACCCCCGATTTGGTCCCCACTGTTTATAATTTGGCCTAAGTTGGTCGTTGAACTATTGTACGGACCCCCAATTTGGTCCTTACTGTTTACAATTTCGCCCCAATTTGGTCCTTACTGTTTACAATTTCGCCCCAATTTGGTCCCTGAGCTATTATTTAACAGAAGGACCAAGTTGGGGTTAAATTGGTAAACAGAAGGACCAAGTTGGGGTTAAATTGGTAAACAATAGGGACCAAATTGGGCATCTGTACATTAGTTTAGGGACTAACTTGGGAGTCCGTATAATAGTTTAGGGACCAACTCAGGGGTCCGTACAATAGTTTAAGGACCAAATTAGGGATTTCTTTAGTTCAGGGACCAAATCGGGGGTCCGTACAATAGTTCAGGGACCAAAATAGGGGTTTAACCTTAGGTTTTTGGGCTTACAATCCCCTAATCCTCTGTTTTGGTTTGTTAGAAAGGGATAATGGCTGATGGTTATCTATTTTTATATCTTGATATCCATACTTTTGATTTACAATTCTTATCATATTAAATTTGGAGTTTGAAGCTAAAAAATATCTACACAATAAACAAAGACTACGACTTAAAAATACTAATAGAAAAGTAAAAAGAAAGTTAAAAAGAATCAAACTTTAAAATTATAAGGTTAAATGTTAATTTTGGTCTCTCAACTTTATAGTGTTGCACAATTTTTGTCCTTCAACTATTTTTTGAACTTTTTTTATCCCTTAACTTTAAAAATTGTATAATTTTGATCTCTCTGCCAGTTAACTATGACGTGGCCATTAAATAATTTCATAATGGCATTTTCTTTTATGCTTTATTTGGAAACATGAATTTGACAGGGTGTATTTGACTTTGAACACTTCAAATTCGATATCACTGTTTGTTTTTACCTAAATAAAATGTAATTGGATTTAAGTAAAGGACGTGTATTTTACCCAAGGTATTTAAAAGGCTTAAAATCTATGTATTTCAAATTCATCCTTAAACCATGGATTTCAATTTCAAACCCTGCTTTTTCTCCACTCCCCAATAGCGATGAAGCCTCCATTGTGACTTTTGTTCATTGTCGACTTCGCCGTTGCTCTCTCACCTTCGTGCCATCAACAACTCAAACCATTCTACGATTGCACACATCTGCTTGAGTTTTCATCATCTCTATCAATAACAGGTTTTTGATCTAAACTTTAATCTTTTCATTGGTTTTTCCTTCTTCCAGTTTGCCTTTTATTGATTTGTTGTTTTGTTGTTCTTGTTATTTTGTCGTTCTCCCCGAGTGATTTGCTTTTGTCACACCTTGAAATCGGGAGTGAAATAGATGTTGTACACTTCTGAGAGAGTCCCACAAATGCACAAGGCTTGGAACCTCCTTAATTCATATCTAGTAATCCACAGAACAAATTTGTAAAAATCTCAAAATAAAATTTAGCTTTCAAAAGAATGTTCTATATCTCAAAATCTATGTCCAAAAATGCAAGTGGCTAGCCTAACTCCAAGATAATCTCAGTCCAAAGTGCAAGTGGCTAGCCTTCTAGCTCATCAATCCCCTTGGTTCCCCATGTCTCGAGTCTCACTACCTAAAATGGTGGACGAGGAAAAACTTTGTGAGATAACTCAGTAAGTAAACATATGGATAGCCTTCACTAAAATTTAAAGCATGCCAAGTAAACGTTTAAATTTTAAACAAGAAGAAAATCTTAGTTATAACTAATTAATGCATAGTAAAACTCAATAGTGGTCCCCTCAACTAGTCATGGCCAGTGTACTTTCCCAATTGGTTGGATAACAGAAATACCAGTGTACTCTTCCACTAGCTGGATAGCAAAAAATACCAGTGTACTCTTCCATTGGTAGGATAACAGAAATGTTAATGTACTTTCCCATTGGCTAGATGAATCGGTCCTACAGAAATACATGTTGACATGTGCTAGCGTTTAACTCCCACTAGTAGGATAATAGAATTCATGACCATATTGGAGACAAAACCATGTAGGAGTTCAATAAGAAAATCCATAATTTACAAATATGAAGGAGTTAACAAGAAAATCATGACTTATAAGCCAATTTTAGATTTCCAAAACAAACAAGAAAACTTCATGTAGGCATGCTTAGCTCAATAAAAGTAATAACAACTTTTATGTTAAATCAGTTGTGCTCAAGTGTTAATAAAAATCGGGTTAGGTCCTGCCACCATCTCAAAAACAGTTCAAAATATGCTTTTAAAACCTTTTACCTTAAATCCAAGGGCTTTACCATAATTTTACTTATCTCGCCTTGTAACTATACAAGAAGCAAAGAATTCAACTCAAGGTGCTTAAGTTGATTTAAAACCTATACCACATCAAATGAATATGTAGAATATCCTTAAAATAACTCCAAATGTCACACTAAATAGTAGGTATTCCAAACATATTTTTCAAGGTAGAATAAGATGGGAAAAATGGGAGAAACCAAGCTCAAAACCATCCTACACACTAGTAGAAATGTTAGGTAGCAAAGTGAGTGTTTTTACCATTTAAAGCAGTCCCAAAATGTTTGGAAAAAGCCCTGATCAGTTAGGATTTTTGGGTAGAAAGACAGTAACAAAATAGGGTGGAATACAAGCCAAGCCAAAACTAGGCAGTATTCAAATAAAAAAATGTAGTAGCAAAAAGGCAGCCAAAACAAAGCAATAACAAGAGGTTTTAGAGCAGGAAAATAGTAGCAAATAGTAGCAAAAAGTCTACTAAAATCATGATGTGATATGGCAGTAGGTACAATGGGAATAAAGCAGAAAACAAAGCAAATTTCTAGGTATTTTTGAAAGCAATTCTAGTCAGATTTTAAATTAGAAATTTCAAAAGAATTCATGCCCAGAAATTAACCAATCTAGGCTAAATGGTCAAAAAATAAATTGTAGCCCTATGTTTTAGTGTTTCATAGGATCAAGAATTACCCTAATCCGACATCTACAGAGAAAGTTATGATTAAAATACTAACAGAAGGTCGGACTGCCAGTTCAGTCTGTTTGCGGGAACCAAACTTGCAGCAAAGTTTTCACCATGAAAACAACTTAACTGGGTTAAATGGCTCTCAAATAAATTGTAGGGCTATCTCTTAACTTTCTACGAAATCAAGAATGAACTCAATCCGATATCTAGAGAAAGACTTATGCACAAAACACTATTGCAAGGGCTATCTCTTAACTTTCTAGCAAAAGGAATCAGATCTGGTAGCACTAGGGCAAAACCGAGGAAACTATAGAAACAACTCCCAAATTGAAAATTCTAAAGGATTAGAGTTAACCCAATTCAAATTAAGGATGAAAAGATGAGAAATATGGCTAATTTCTAACTAGAAAGTTGTAGAAAGTGCACCCATTAAGCATTCAAATCACAAACAAGGAAAGAAGAACAGAAAATAGTGATCTTGATGAGGAGAAGCAGCATTAGAAGGTTTTAAATTTAGAATGGAAGAGAAGAGGACAAACCAGAAAGAAAAGAAAAAGAATACCCATAAAAGGAAATTAGGGTTTTCCAGCACCTTATTCTCTCTCTCTCTCTTTTTTTTTTACTGCCAACATCCCCAAGATTGAAGAATGAGACAACTTGGTCTCCCAATAAAATCCCGTTTTTATATTAGTCATCTTATACCATAATTAATTAATTAATTAATTATTCCACATGAGTGCCAAAAATTTGGGGTATTACAACTTTCATGGGTAGTTGCCCAATCTTTTGTATTCAAAACCCAATAGTTTTGTGCTTAAACCTGGTATTTTTGGTTGATTATAAATTATTGTAATCTATAGGTTAAAAATTTGGAAGCTAAAGTGAATAGGATTTGCCATTCCATTGTTGAAATCTTTGTTTCCTCAAGCAAATTTTTAAGTATGATCTTGTATTCCTTTTGGCTTACCTATGTAATTCCGCTCTTGAAATGAAATGGAATTTGGGATTATGGCTTGAGATTACTATTGCTTTCATAATCTGGAATCTCCACTTGCTTGTGACATTTTGAAAATTTTCTGTGGAATTTACCAAGTTACAAGACCAACCTAACATTGTGTTTCCTTGACTTGGGAAGCTTGCTGTATTTTGCTTTCCAATGATAGATGCTTGGAACTTATAGCATGTTTTTTATTTTACTAGAATCTTCTCTTTAGTCCTTGAAAATGACTTGTCTGATGGTATTCTTTTCTTCGTTGGCTTTCTAAACTTTAGTCATGAAATCCTTTGCAGCAATTTGATTTTGTTCATCATCTTTTCTATTTGAGTTTGAGTGTCATTGTTTACTATTGGGGTTCTTCTTATCTTAGTTTAATTTTGCCTTCTTTTTTAGGTATTATTTGTGTAAGCAAAGTGTCCATGAGTTCTGTTTCTGCTTTGTCATTCTGATACTTAAATTTGCTGTAATGAGAGCACATACTATTGTTTAGCACTTGGAAGAGACATGATTTTATGGTGATTTTATTAGATTTAACTAGGATAGGATTTAGCTCTAAGAAAGACAAATTCCATTCTTATGGTGGAAACCTTGAGAGAGGGCTTGTTCTAGTTTAGTAACTTGGTTAAATCTGGACTTCCGGAGATATCCTTGCACACAAACATTTACCTCATTGTTTTGGTTAAGGTTGTTCAACTTTTTCTTTTTTCCTCCCATTTTAAAATTTAAACTGACAATTTAGTTATTGCCATTTTAAGAAGCAAGCCTTCTTTTATTATTACATGAGAAAGCATCTGCTTAATTATTGCAAAGATTTGAAACTAAGTCTCTGAACTTGACCCAGGAATCAAGGCTTTTAAGTTATCATTGACTCTGTTAAGTGCTTGTTGAACATAGCATGCATTTTTCACTCATTATTTAGCTTTGTAGTATTTTTGCATCCACAGATGTGTCAAGTTTTATAACTGTTTCTAAATGAAATCTTTCTCTCGAGTGATTTATTTGTCATTGGGTTTACTTGAAACTGAAGCAAGTCACAGAAGATATAGAAAAACAAATTTATGCTTTCTTGTTTTGATTAATTATGTAAGATATGCTAGGGTTGAAGATTCTTTATTCATTTTTTGATAGTGCTAGTGTTTATTAGATTTAAACCTACTACATTGACTTTTTTCTTAAAGTATAGAAATTGCAGAGGTGATCAAGTTCAAGTAGCTTCCAAAAATTACAAAAATACTCGGGAACTTTTGTTTTGCAAGTAAGACAATTTATCTTATTATAATTACCCTTTTGCTTTTTAGCTTTTATTTTTTCATGTACTTTCTTTTGTTAGCTTATAATAAAAGACATTTTGCTTTTTTATAATAATGTAAATCAAACTATTATAGGCAAACTTGATTGATGGTGACAATGGTTTGTTAGTTCAACGTAAACATCCTCAACAAAAAATTGAGGAAAATGAGCAAGAAGATATGGAGTTTTTTTTATTGCTTATGAAGATCTTTCTTATACTTGTTGTTATTTGTCATCGTCGTAAGCATAGGTATAGAAAACTTCAATTATGTGATCAAGATGAAAGGGCTTATCAGAGGAAGATGTGGATTAGATTATTAGATGATGAAAAAGTTTGCTTGCATCAACTTTGTGTTACTAGGCAAGCATTTAAGAAATTGTGTGATGTTTTAATGGAGAAAAGTAGACTAGTGGCCACAAGATATGTGACAATTAAGGAAATTGTGGCACTTTTCTTGCATATTCTTACTCATGACCTTAAAAATAGTACAATCAGAAGTATTTTTGCTTGTTCATCGAAAACAATCAGTAGACAATTCCATGTTGTTTTGCAAGTAGTGATGAAAATTGGAAAGTTTTACATTAAACAAAACAGTGTATCCTTCCATGAAGTAGATGATAAGTGGAAATGGTTCAAGGGAGCTGTTGAGGCACTTGATGGAACCCTTATTGAGATAACTGTACCTACTAGTGAGCAAGGAAAATATCAAGATAGAAAAGGTAACTTGAGTACAAATGTTTTGGGAGCTTGTGATGCTAATTTGAAGTTTACTTATTTGTTGCCTGATCGGGAAGGATTAGCATCAGATTCTCGTGTTTTACATGATGCTTTGACTAGACGCAATAGCTTAAAAGTTTCACAAAGTAAGTGTTATTAATTGAAGTTAATTTTACTATTATTAACTCCTTGTATATATTTGAACTTTGACAATTTTGGTTCTCTATTATTATTTTTTTTTATGTAGATATGTATTATCTTGTGGATTTGGGCTACACAAATGGTCGAGGTTTTTTGGCTCCTTATAAAGGAACTAGATATCATCTAAATTTGTGGAGAGGAAACACTCCAACTAATTATAAGGAGTTGTTTAACCTTCGGCACTTGACTGTAAGGAATACAATTTAATGTGGCTTTGGGTTAATAAAGAGGAGGTGGGCAATCACACACCATGCTTGCTTTTATGATATGAAGACTCAAATTAGAATCATCAATGCATGTTTTATCCTGCACAACTTTATATGAGATGAAATGGTGGAAGAAGATTTACTAAGAGAAGTGGATAAAGAGCTTGAAGAGGCTACACTTGAAAATGAGGTTGAGAGAGATAATACAACCTTTGTGGGAGTCATTGATGAATGGTCGCAATTTAAAGATAATTTAGCTATGGAGATGTTTGAAGAATACCAAGCTTAGTGAGCTCTAAGGAATTAAGATTTTCTCATTTAGTCTTTTGAAAATTTTGAACTTAAGATGTAATGATTCACTGTCTAATATGACACTTAATTGGGTTTTGAATATGAAATATTAGTTTGTTTTGACTAGTTAAAATTTCTTTTAGTTAATCATGGATAATGTTCTTGATGGTTTTATGTTACCATTTTCTTGTTTTAGATGCTAATTTTCATAATTAATTTACTAATTGATTGAGAATGCAAAGAGGTGGAAAATCTCCTTCAAGTAGTTAAGGTATGTAATATTTTATTCGTTTCCAAATATTTTGTTTCTCTAATATCAAGTCAAGGTGATGATATTTGTTTTATTGTGACAACAAATGAAATGAAGAATCTCTTAGCTGACTTATTCATGTATTAATGTGAAATTGTTTGGCTATATCTATTGTTGTTATTTTAATAATTATTTCCTAGTTTCCTTCTTATTTTGCCATTGCCATATTGAATTTTTTGCATGATGACTGTTGTAGATTTAAATTTTTTTGCCATAAATCCAAGCTTCTATTAAATTTCTTTAGTCTCAATACCAATTGTCAAGGAGATTGAGCTTCCATTTAACATCTCAAAGACATGTTTCCTAGGTGGAAAATTTATGTTAGATTCATTTCTTTTGAAATGGCTAGAAACTAAGCTTGAGCTTTTATGATCACTGCCGCTAGTTGAAATTGCATATTGACCATTGCCTAATTCAACATTTCTTACTTGACCTATTTTGTTTCTATTAAATTTGTTTACTCATTGCTTCCTTTCACATGGGACACCCATATTTTTATTTGTGATTTGAATAATTAAATTAGCCTGTATTAGTAACACTACCAAAACGTTTTCAATTCCAATCTTTCTTAAACTGCTTTTAAGATTAACCATATATGTGTCTGTTGTTAATAGGAGCAAAAAGAAAATCAAAAAGTCAAGGAGAAGGTCTTTTTAGGACTTACATGCAATGAACAAAGGAAATGGATAACATTTTAGATATTTTTGTCATGCCCTAAAACCCAATTTCAAGACGCGACAGACGCCGTGCACTCGTGAGACGGGTCTCACAAATGCACAAGGCTCGGAACTTATCACACCACAATCTGATACCATCAAAATCTGAAGATCAAATTATAAGATTTCTCCGATCATAAATCTCCAAATACACTCTAGCTTACAAGATCATGATTTATTTTGAAAATCTATATCCAATTACAATATGGCTAGCCTTCTAACTCGTCACTTCCCGTGGTTTCCTCGTCCTCGGTTTCACTTCCTGAAATGGTGGGCAAGGAAAAACTATGAGATAAACTCAGTAAGTAAATATGGAGTGCCCATTATTAAACTTATAGCATGCCAACATGTGCAATCACGCAAATCGGATACAGTACAGGAACGAAATGGACGTCTCCTCTATAGGTCACGGCCAGTGTATAATCCCCACTAGCAGGGCCACGATTTGCTTGTGTATAACCCCCACTAGCTGGGTTGAACGAACCGGCTCTATCACTACATGTTGACATGTGCTAGTGTTTATAACCTCCCTCACTAGCAGGGTCACGAATAACATGACCACATCGAAGACAAAACAGGCAGAAGTTAACAGGAAAATCACAATTCACAATCACTTTCAGATCATCAGGACAGTTCACAATCACTTTCAAGTAGGCATGCTCAATTTAGTGAAAAGTATAAAACATTTCACTTCAAATCAGTCATACTTGTGTAAAACGGGTTTAGTCTCGCCACCACTTCAAAAACAAATCAAAACATGCTTTTAAAATCAAAGGGCGTTACCATAATTTACTTACCTCACTCGCATAAAATCGAGCACTCAATTCACGTACTAAACTGACAGGACGATCAATAACCTAATCAAGATATTTCAAGAATCAATACCGTACCATCACAAATTCACACTGAAATCATCATTAGGATCATTCCTAATCACAATGCTATTTCCAATCAATCTCCACATTATCAAATATCTCCAAATTCGTTCTTATATCACAAACTAATCACTTAAATTCCCGTTAAATGTTGGCCCTCGGGGTGTGAACAGTAACCGGTAAACAGTTCCGGTGAACAGTGACCCTGACGTGAACAGTAACTCTACTTCCCAAAATTGGTCAAAACACTAGCTAATCTCACGGGATTTCACTCCAAAAATCACAGCAATCAATTAACACTCAATCACATAAATCCCACTTCAATTAAGCTAAATCATGGTCCTAAAGCTATCAAATTCTTCCCCATTTTTCTAGCGAAATTTGGACACACAATAGGGCAGCAATTGAAAGCAAATAAATGGACAAATTCGGGGGCTTGGAGGGCTGCCACATACCAGAATTCTCCAGCTAAAACCGGAGCTGCAGTTGGGGAAGAGGCCGGCGGCAAGCTGCAGGGAAAGCTCACAGGTTTACCCAAAAATTGGAGGAACAAGAGCAATTAAAGTAAACCCAGGGCAATTCAAGCAAGAACAAAGGAAATTAGGGGCTGTTCTTACCGAAAAATGCTTAGAAATCACCCATACCCACTAGCAGCCGGCGGTGAAGACAAGCAGAGCAAGGCAGATCTGGAATTTCCAGCAAAGGGGAAAGATTTCTGGGTTCCAAATCAGGTTCTTGGACAAGAAAGAAGGAGAAATTCCAAGCTTTCTCACCAATTTTTCAAAGCTGGTGCCGGTGGCTTGGATGGGGGGGATTTCGGGCTGTAGGGGAGAAAAGAAGAGCAGAATTGGGCAAGGCTGGGAAGAAAAGAAGGAAAGAAAAAGAAAAAGAAAAGAAGTCATCCTTATCCAAAATCTTTCCCTCTTTAAGTCCCTCAACTTTTGAAATATTCATATTAGGCCCCAAAACAATCTTTTCTCACAATCAAGTCCTTAACTTACACTTAAATATTCCCGAAAATTTGGGATATTACAATTTCACTATATGACTTTCTATCTCAAGGCCTCAAAACTAATAAAGATTGGAAGCCTCAAGCTTACCAAGCAGCTGTGGATTATCTTGGGAAATCATTAAGTGTTAATGTAACCAAGGAGCAAGTCAAGAATAAAGTAAGACAATGGAAAAAACATTTCTCTATTATTAATGAAAACAAAAGCCACCAAAGTGGGTTTCCATGGGATGAGGAAAAGAAGATGCTTGTTGTAATAGTAGATAATATGTTAGCATGGAAAGATTATGTTCAAGAGAATGGAAAGGCAAATGGATATGCAAATAGACCGAGAGAAAGGTGGGATGATATTGTGATGTTGTGTCGGATAGATGTGATGTTGTGTCGGATAGATAGAGCAACTGGTGAAGCTGCTGAAAGTTTTGAAGATGCTGATGAAGCCATGACAGGAGAGGATGAAAATGATGTAGAGTACTCAATACCACTTGCTACCCCACCAACACAACCTTCCACATCATCTATGATAGAGTCCCATCAAAAGAAATGGAGGAAAGATCCATTGGTTTTTATTGTTGATGACATTACTTCATCACTCAAGGAGTACATGAACTTGAAAAAGAAACCAAGTGGTCAAGAGATTTATGAAATGGTTTCAAAAGTTTTGGGTCTTTCTCAATAAGAAATATTCAAGGTAGTCCAATTGTTATTAAATGGTGAACCTAAGTAATTTTTTTTGCTAAAATCACTTCCTGATGACAAGAAATATAATTGGTCGATTTTCCTTCTAAGTTTAGGTTGTATATTGAAACATAATTGCCTTTTTATATTTTATATTTTCTAATTTATGGAATCTAATACTCTAATCTTGTCTTATTATCGAGTTGGTTTCTCTGGCACAGGCAAGACATGAAGTAATTTCACCTTTAGACATTTTTCTTACAATTTCTTCTGATTCATTGTTTTTCTAGCTTTGTGTTTCTAACCTTTTGGGTTTTGTACTAAATCTAAGTTGATTTTTCTTGTAGGACATGGAACTTGCGAGTTCCCAGCAGGATATGGAAACTAATTAAGAATGAGATTTGGTGAGAATTGAGTCACAAGTTTCCTTGGGTAATTTTAGAAATGGTGTTAATTTTTTAAACAGTATATAGTATAATGATTGAGGAGTAGGTGTGGTTGTTATTTTTATTTGGACATATCCCATTTGTGTTTATTCTCCAGCTAGCGGATTGTTTGCGTATCCATGATGAATCCATCTTTGCAAAAATTGAATATTGTATGACAATGGAAAAAATAACAGAAAATGGAGAACATGAAAACAAAGAGGTAATTTAAATAATTTCTTGGAAGACTAAAATTATTAACTTTGGCTTTATTAAATTTAAATAATGATAAGAAGAATATTTAATTTAATAGGAAAAATTCAATTTTAAATGCATTGTATTTTAAAATATCCAAACAATGAATCTAAAAATGCATGTATTTGAAAATCATTTCTTTTATTTCAATCCAAACAATGTATTTTAAATAAATTTATTTGAAATACATGTATTTAAAATACATGTATTTAAAATACACATTCCAAGTACAAATTGTTTACACCTAATTTTACAACAAATAGTGTTGCCACGTGTCACCCATGTTGGCAGATATATTTATTGATTGAAAGTTGGTGTAAATCTTTTTAGATAAGATTGAGTGGTTATTTCCACAACGGTAGCAAAACTGTTCCCTTGTTGCGAGTTTCCAGGAGGATAATCGACAGCATAAACAAATTAATCGATTTGTTGCAGATATCACGTTGCCGTTGGTTTTTCAGGATACTACCGCAGATCTCCACCATGTTGCCAAGGTACTATAAATACCCGATGATGAGATCAAGCAAAGGATCGACATCACACACAACAAACTCAGCACAATTTCTCTTTATGCTCAAATTCATCTTAGTTTTAAGCCCTTTAATTTAATTTCAACTCTACGCTTCAACCTAGATTAGTTTAATAATTCAGCTCTTCGTTTGTTGGATTTGTAATGGTGAGTTTCATTGCCTTCAATAGTATTTCTTTATGATCGGATTGCTTCTTTTCCTTTTCTATTTTCCAAGTTTCTTTTAATTAAATCAAATGATGTCGACATTTAATTTCATGTTCAATTCTATTTCTGTTAATTTATATTTCATGCTGCCAGTAGATTTTCCTTGTTTTTGGTTTTGTTTACTTTAACTTAATTTACTTTTGCTGCAATTAAATTTCCTTTTAAAGCTATGTCTCAACCCAGTTTGCATTTTTAAAGTTCATTTAGATTTTCAGTAGTTTAGCGATCATTTATTTTCCTTGCAGTCTTAACTTTTCTTGATTACATTAGCTTTGAGGAGTCCTTGGAATCATATCCAAGGCATTTTGCCATATAACCCATTTAGTGCAGGAAGTTCATCCCTCGTTTTTTCCAATCGTCTAATCTTTAAGGCGCAGTTTACGACGTTCTTCCATCAACTCACAAACTGAGTTCTACGCTTGGAAAGAAGAGAGGGTCGTCAGAGAAATCTTTCTTGTTTTGAGCAAAGCAAGTGGCACGCCATTCCATCTGCCACATGTCAAGGAGATTTTTTGGGATAACAATCTCTTTTTGGCACGCTTAGTGGGACCTCCTGCTGGCGATCGTCTATCAAGAAAAGTTTTTTGATCCTTTTTTTGCTTTTCTTGGGCATAAAGTAGCCATAACCATGCCTATGAGAGTTGGAAAAGAAATCGAACAACAATGGAAGTTGCTCCTGTGAGTCCAAGACATTTTGAAGGTGAAAATAGTCCAAAGCATCTTCCACCTATTTCTCCCTTGGCTGATCGCTCATATGGCAATCCCATATATCATAAGGATGATGAGGAGAGGGTTGATTTTGCTGAGTCAAGCAATAAAATATCTCAAGAACTTTAGTAGATAAGAAAGCTGCAAGAAGAAGCCTATCAGAACATAAAGCGTAGTCTAGAAAGCTTTCTACAAGCCCAACAACAACAGTCAGATCATTTCACTCAATATTTGAATGTTATTGAAAGGACCATTAATGAAAATTCTCAAGCTATTCGAGAAGAAGTAGTAGAAAGTCGTAGAACTTTCATGATAGTTTCTGAGAGAACCATAGAACATGTTCGATAGCAACAAAATGCTCCAAGGCAACCTATACCTCCAACAATGGAATTGCCACAACAAAATCTTCCAGATCCTTTGCCCGGGGGGCATATTAATTAGCCAAAGATGGTGCAACAGATGCCCAATGTTCAAAATAATGCTCTTGGTATAGTCCAAGTGCAGTTCAATAAGCAGCATCAAAACAATCCTGTTGGTGGCATCCATGGACCACAAGATCCTGTGGAAGCAACATTCCATGTAGCTGAGCAACTTAACGCCAATCAACAAAGATATGTACTTCCTGCATGGCATCCAAATGCAACCCCACAACCCAACCTACAGAATAATGCCTTTCAACCATTAGGGCTGCAAGCAGCACCCCCTCCCTTGGATAGAAATCAACTGATTGATCTAGTCCAGGAGACATATGGTCCAACTTTAAGACCATTGGTTCGTCTTTCCTATCACAAGCCATATCCAAATTACATAGATTGGGATAATCCATTTTCTCATGGATTCAAAGTGCCTGAATTTACTTTGTATTCTGAGGACACGAGTCAATCAACCATTGAACATATTGGTAGGTTCACTATTCAATGTGGGGAAGCATTGGGTGTTGATTTTTTGAAGTTGAGACTTTTCCCAAATTCTTTAACGGGTACTGCACTAGCGTGGTACCTAAGTCTACTGCAAAATTTTGTATTTACTTGGAGACAAATGGAAGATTTGTTTCGTATTCAATTCTACTACTCAGAGCTTGAGATATCCATGGCTGATCTTTCTAGATTGACTCAATGGCTAGGGGAATCTTTTGAAAATTATCTCATGTGGTTTAGAAAAGCCAGGATGAAATGTCATGTTGCCTTACCAGAGCAAGAGTTTGTGAAGCTTGCTCAAAATGGTTTAGACATTGAACTTCGAAAGAAGTTTGAGAGGATGGAATTCAAAGACTTCTTTGAGCTCTCTTATAAAGTGGCATGTTATGAGAACCTTTTAAGAGAGGAATCCCAAAGAAAAGCAACATCCCAAGGAACTTATTATCAGGATGCTTTTGACCTTGATGTTGTCGAGGTCTTTGCAGACAAGCCAATAACTTGTCCTAATCTAGTGAAAGTCACTCAACAGGTTGAGGCGGCTGCAAAGCGTTTCCCGTATGAATCTGGGAGACAATACACATTTGATGTGACTAAAGCAAATGAAATCTTTGATTATCTGAAAAAGTCAAGACATATTAAGCTGCCACAAGGGCATTGGCTCCTAGGGTTGCTAAAATTGCATCCAAAGATTACTGTAAGTTTCATAACTCCTTGAAACACTCTACGAATGACTGTGTTATTTTTTGAAATGTGTTGCAAGATAAGATTGACAAAGGGCTACTCTGTTTCCCTAAAAAACCCAAAGAAGCCATGGGTGTCGATGAGAATCCTTTCCCAAATGTAGATGTTGGGGTTAATGTTGCTGACATAAGAATCATTTTTGGAAGAACATATAAAGGGCGAACTTTGGCTGCAGATGACCTTCACTGGGTGATTGAGAAGAAAAGGGAACGTCATGCCCAACAAAATCAGAGGTTTGAGGGGCAATGCCATGCTGCCAGAACCTATGCTTTCAGATCTAGGATGAAGGGGGATCGACATACAAATCGCTCTTGTATGGTTAAGCCTCCACAACGACCTCCAAGTAAAAGGTTGGAGAAGGTTGTGCATCCCAAGTTTCCAAAAGAACTTGTGAAAAATCCTAGAACTTTGAGAAGAAGGTTGCAACTGAAGCAAGCAGAGGCATGTTGCCATCAACAATTAGCTACTGAGGAAGTTAAGGTTCCATAATGTTCTCCCGCAAAGGGAAGGATGGTGTGGAAGAGAAAGGAGAGTCAAGAGGTTGCTATCTAGAATGAATCTCAACTGGAAGTGCCACCTCCTAAGCTCACCTCACTTATCGTCAATGAAAATGAGTTGAAGGCAACCTTTGAAGCAAATCAGCAAACAAAGTTGACTAGCGATGATAATCTTTTTGAGGACATGGATGTTTTGCAGATCGGTAGCATCTCTATTAATCTCTCTTGTTTGGTTCTCATGCTTCCTTTGGTTTTTCAAGCCAAGGGTAGCGAGAGTACCCATGTTCCTACCCATGTTTCCAAGGGCAGCATGGTTGTTGAAGAAGTGATAGAGTTTCCAGCCCAAAAAGAGAAAGAGGAGCATGATATCATCTCAGAACAAATTGTCTTTGACAAACTAGATGGGTGTGGCTCATCATATAAAGCCACTCTACATTTCAACTCACATGGATGAAGTTCCAATGAATTGAGTCTTTGTTGACAATGGAGCGGCAGTCAATGTCATACCTTTTTTATATTAAGGAATTTGGTTAAAAATTTCTGAGGACTTGGCTTATACTGACGTAACCATTAGTGATTTCACAAGTGGTGTTAGCAAATCAAAAAGAGTGCTACTGGTTGCACTTACTATCGGCAAAAAGACATCAATGAGTGATTTCTTTGTTGTAGACTCTTTTGCAACTTATAATGCATTACTGGGACATGATTGGATCCATTTGAATTGGCGTGTTCCATCTACTCTTCATCAAAGACTCATTTTTTGGAATGGAGGCAAAACTGAGGTGGTTTATGCTGATAGCAGACCATTCTTAGCTAATTCCAATATGGTGGAAGTACGGTACTATGATGAAGACGTAGGAACCATCCGTCTCTTCAGCATGGATAGACAAGGAAGACCTCATGGAATTACTGCTTGCAACAAGCGTACCTTGGCTAAGTCTGCGGTTGACGAGGTATGCAATGAACTCTTGCAGCCTACTGCCATTACTCCATATAGGCCGCAAGAGGAGCCCAAAATTGAAGAGTTATGATGAAGAGATCTAGGATAAACAGAGAAAGAAGGAAGGCCGTATCTAAAATTCTAAAGAAATTAGTGGCCTATTTTGCTAAAAGAAATACAGAAGCAAATTTGTCGAAGGTGGTACATGAAGGTGAGGAAGACACCCATACTGATGGAGTCACAATGGAAGAGTTAGATTTGGCCCCTGTGAAGCTGGATGACCTTAAGGCCGATGTAAAAAATCCATTGAAGGAAGTTAATCTGTGAATGGAGGTAAAGCCACACATTACTTTTGTCAGTGGCTTGCTGCCGCTAGAGATGCAAGATAAAATAATCTGTTTACTACATGAATTCAAAAATTACTTTGCTTGGGATTATTCTGAGATGCCAAGTTTAGACCGAAAGTTGGTAGAGCATAGACTACCAATCAACAAAGGATATAAGCCGTACAAACAGCCGCCACGCGGTATGTCTCCAGAAGTGATTTTGAAGGTGAAGGAAGAAATGGAGCGATTGCATAAAGTTGATTTTATACGGATAGCTAGGTACTCAGAATGGTTGTCTAATATTGTTCCAATAGTGAAGAAGAATGAAAAGCTCAGAGTCTGCATTGATTTTCAGAACTTAAATCTAGTCACACCAAAGGATGAACATCCCATGAGAGTAGCAGATTTACTTGTTGATTGGATTGCACGCCATCGCATTTTATCTTTTATGGATGGGCATAGTGGCTATAATCTGATCTTTATTGCAGAGGTAGACATAAGTAAAATGACGTTTTGTTGCCCTGGAAACATAGGTACGTATGAATGGGTCGTGATGCCATTTAGGTTGAAAAATGCAAAAGCTACATATCAACGGGCTATGAATGCAATTTTTCATGACATGATTGGCTGCTTCATAAAGATTTATATCGATGATGTTGTGGTCAAATCCATGGAGGAGGAAGAACATTTGGAGCACTTAAGGAAAGCTTTTAAAAGGATGCGACAACATTGTTTGAAGATGAATCCTCTCAAGTGTGCTTTTGGTGTTACAACAGGGAACTTTTTGGGTTTTCTAGTCCATGAACGAGGCCTAGAGGTGGACAAAAACAAAGCAAGGGCCGTAATTGAAGTGTGGCCACCACAAAATAGAAAGGAATTACAAAGGTTTCTTGGTCAGATTAATTTCCTAAGGAGGTTTATCTCTAATTTGGCGAGCAAAACTCATGTCTTTTCATCTTTTTTAAAGTTGCAGCCTGATGCAAATTTTAAATGGGAAAGGGAGCACCAAGCCGCCTTTGATGCCATCAAGGAATAATTGTCCAAGCCACCTATGTTGGTTCCTCCAATTAAGAATAAACACTTATTGCTGTTTATATCCACCGTAGATAAGTCAATTGGCTGTTTGTTGGCACAAGAGAATAATAATAAACAAGAACAAGCTGTTTATTATTTGAGCAGAGCTTTAAATCCAACCGAAGTGAAATATTCTTTGGTTGAAAAATTATGTTTGGCTTTGATCTTTGCAACAATAAAATTGAGGCATTATTTATTATATTCGAAGGTGTTTGTTGTTTCAAAAATCGATGTCATAAAATATATGCTGTCGTGGCCACTCTTAAGAGGCCACATTAGTAAGTGGATTCTTGCACTTATTGAATTTAATCTGAGATATTTGCTTCAGAAGGCCGTCAAAGGATAGGCCTTAGTAGACTTTTTGACAGATCATCCTTGTTTAGATGTTAACGCTGATAAAGACAAAGGAATCAATCTCTTTTTGATTGACTTGGTTCGTTGGAGGCTTATTTTTTATGAGTCTAGCACTGATCAAGCCTCTGGAGCTGGAATTATTATTGTTTCTCCAGATGGCATAAAAATCGAATGGTGTTTTCAATTGGATTTTGAATGCACCAATAACCAAGCAGAATATGAAGCTTTAGTAATTGGCCTTAAGTTGTTGGTAGAGTTGAAAGTGCCATCAGTTGAAATTGTGGGTGATTCTCAATTAGTTCTCAAGCAATTGAGTGGTGAATACAAGTGTACAAGTGTGGTTTTGTCTCCATATTTCGCCACTGCCATCCAACTACTGAAGGAATTTGATTATGTCTCCCTGAAGCATATTCCTCACAACATGAATGTTGAAGCAAATGAACTTGTGCAGATTGCTTCAGGTGTAAAAAAGCCTGAAGGCATGTTGGAGAAAGTGATCGTCATTGAAAAACATATGTTGCCTTCAATTCATCAAAGAGGGATAACAGTGAAAGCATGCTCACTAGATGTCACGCCTACAAACTAGAGGCATCCAATAATAGAACATTTGAGGAATCGCAATTCTAAAACATCAAGGAGAACAAGGATGCAAACTTTAAACTATGTGCTACTAGGGGATGTCTTGTATCGTACCGGGCAGGATGAATTATTATTGCACTGCCTCGGTCCTGATGAAAGTTGCCCTGTGATGTCAGATGTTCATAATGGTATCTGTGGTGCTCATCAGGTAGGGATTAAGATGAGATGGCTAATTCGAAGGCATGGTTTCTTTTGGCCATCTATTCTTAAAAATTGCATCAATTATGCAAACGGCTACAGAGCTTGTCAATTGCATGTGCATGGTCCTTTGTAGCGAGTGCCAGCTTTTGAGTTACATCCTATTGTCAAGCCATGGCCTTTTCGTGGCTGGGCAATTGATTTGATTGGGAAAATTTATCCACCTTCTTCTAAAGGCCATTCTTTCATAATAGTTGCTACATACTACTTTACTAAATGGGTGGAGGCAAGGCCTATGAAGAAGGTTGAGCAAGGAGATGTCATCAAGTTCATAAAAGAGGATTTGATCCACAGGTTTAGCCTTCTAGAAACTATCACTTCTGATCAAGGTACTGCCTTTGTTAGATCTCAAGTAGAGGCCTTTGCAAAAGACATGGGATTTCATTTGCTTAATTCAACTATGCATTATGCACAAGCAAATGGTCAAGCAGAGGCATTTAATAATATTATCATCAACTTTTTGGAGAAAATGGTTGATGATAATCCCAGAAAATGGCATGAGCTCCTATCAGATACTTTCTGGGCATACATAACCTCACAACGGAGTTCAACTAAGGTGACCCAATTCTCTCTTACTTATGGTCATGATGTTGTCTTGCCTATGGAATTCACGGCAAGGTCTCTACAGATTACAATTCAAAATGGCTTAAATTCTAGGGAATACGATGAGGCCATGATCATGGAGTTGGAAGACCTTGAGGAAGCAAGGCTGACAGCATTGGATGTAATGAAAGTTCAGAAGCTTAAAGTGGCACGAGTTTACAACAAAAAGGGTCAAACAAAAGAATTTAGCCAAAGGAAGCTGGGTTTGGAAGGCTGTGTTGCCGCTTGGCAAGAAAGATCCCAAATATGGTAAGTAGTCCTTTAATTGGGAAAGACCATTCCAAATTCATAAAGTTCTTAAAGGGGGTGCTTATTGGTTAAAGTCTTTGAATGGGGAGTTGCATCCATGCAAGATCAATGGCATCTACTTGAAACCGTATCATTTGACTATATGGGAGGCATGGGATAGTTCTGCCTCCACGTCTGCATGATCCAGGTTTGCAGACATTCGTATATTATTTGATTCAAGTTGTTTTTCTTTCAATAAGGACATGTAGAGTTTTGGCTTGAACTATGAAAACATACATAAGATTTGGTGTTGCCAAGGAGGCATGGCATATTCTTACATTTTTGTTTTAAAGTAGCTTTGTTTGCAAAAGCTATGGGCAGCATGAATTAAGCAAGCAAATAAATTCATTGTTCATGATTAGAAGAAGGAAGAACCAAAAGAAGTCTGGAAATAAATGTTTAAGCGACTCAATGGCCACGACAAGGATGAATGATGTTTTTTTTTAAAAAAAAAACCTAGCAAAGGTTCTAAATCTAGGTGGCCCACTCATCTCTCATTTGCTGCAGTGTGTTGTTGGTTTCCTTTGCTTTCTCTTCCTGTTGTGCAGCCTCACTCTTTGCAGCCAAAGCTTCACGTCCATCTTCCTTGAGCTTAACTAGTAATTTGCTTCTCTTGGCTTTAAGGGATTTGAGGTTGTCTTCTTCCTTTGTTGTTGTCTTTTTCAACTCGACAAGGCGAGCTTCTAGTTTGGCAATCTCATCTAGGTTGTCTTGATGCAGCTTCATTTGGGTGCTAATGCTATTTCTCACCTTTTCATAAATGCTCTTTTTCTTCTCTACTACTTCTTTACGTTGTCGAGCAAGATCTATAGCTGCGGATGCACTTGACACAACTTTCTCCTCATTCATAAACCGTTGGCTAAAGTTCTTGTAAACAGTAGGGAAATAGCTCCAAAACACACGCACTGATGCATCCAATGTGGGAGCCTTGCTCAAGACCTCAGCAGCATTTAATGCCTCATTCTGATCAATGACTTGGCAAAGTTCAAATGGATTACCGTTCAATAGCTCAAGAAGAAGGTGGGTGGCAGCATCGATGGATTCCTAAGAAGGGATATCTAGATTGTTCTTTTCTTCTTCCACGATCTTATCTTTTGAGCCGAGAGGCATGGACCTTTCTATTTCCAAGCAGTCATCTAAGAGGTCTAGTTGGGCAAAAACCTCACTCTCAAGGACATCATTATCTATTTCAATCATGAGTGAATCAGCCTGCAATCCATAAGGTAGCCATGTGAATTAAAAAAAAAAAAATTAAGTGGCAGCAAGAAACATGAAGAAAGTACGTGTATCTACCTATGCAAGAGCAATAGGCTTTGGTGGTGAGGTGGTGACTGGCTGCAGTTCTTCTCTTGTAAGGTCGACTTGCTCATTTGATTCTACAATTTGGAAAAGCTTGCTTGTAACGCTAGGGGAAGACCGAATATCTTTGGTCATTGATCAAGGAGGATTAACCTCTGCGACCGCAAGCTTAGTGGAACTATGAATAGATGTTGTTGCACAAAGTTGGATTAGTTTCATACTAGGAAAGAAACAAAACAATGAAGGCTGAAAATTTACCTTTTGCAATTTTATTTGGCGCATCTTCTTTATCAGAAATCTGTAGAGAAAACGTTCTCCTTTTAGCAGGTTGCATTTTTGGTTTCTCATTTAAGGAATTCTTGACTTTACCAACGGATGGAGTATTTCTTTTGTCTTCCTTTCTGTTATTTTCTAGGGGAGCAAATTGGTCCAAGGAATTCATTACAGCACGAAAGCGTGACGTGAAGTGTGATGTTTACCAGTCCTTATAAGCTTTAGTGTAATTAGGTTAACTAAGTGGAGGTGGCTGAAAGTTGAGTGAGTTGAGGAATGTGCTGGTAAGTTCAACTTGCTCTTGTTTTGATTTGATGTCAGGAAAGAGGAACCTCAAAGGGAAACAAACATTTCTCGTAAACTGAGGTGGAGAAAGGATGTCCTGGCAATATCCAAGTTGTCGGCAAAATTGATTTGGAGCGTATAGCTCTGAGTTGCACCTTGATTGTGGCCCCCCAATGCTGCAGCCTATGAATAAATCTCTTGGAGAGATGTAAGCTTTCCAGCAAGCTTTGAATTCTTCACTGTTCCTATTTGCTTTATACCATTCTAGGCCATACTTTCTTTCAAGAAATACTACAAATTCTACTTTTGGCTGATCAATTGAGAGGGATGCAAAATAGTTGAAATATGTCTTAAAACTTTGTGGCGGCTTCTTTGCATCTTGGACGCACATGCCATAAGTCAACAAATCTTCCTTATCAACTTTCTCAAATTTAGGGGCGACATTGGGAAATAAGAATAAAGCCACAATTGTAGGACCCAAAGAGCACCACTGAATTTCCCAAATGGAAAGATGGTGACATCATAGCACCCACAGTATATATAGCCGAGCATAAATTGAGCAAGAGCAAATTTTTTACCATGTGCCAAACCGACAGCAAGAGGAATGAACTCTTTGGCAACACACCTCCTAGTAAGGCAGACCATAAACTTGCAGATCAAACATAATAAAAAGGAAATATGTTTTCTTCGGTCTGGATTCTTACTCCTGGTGGTGAGAATTGAGTTCCTTTGGAAACTAAGGAAAGTTGTTCTCGTGTCACCGAGGTCATATTTTTCTACAGGAACAGTTGGCAGCAAGGCAGAAACCTCTTCTCCGATACAGGGAAGGCCGATTAGAGAACAAATGTCAAATAAAGAGATAGACATAACACCACAAGGGAAGTGAAAGCAATTATAGGAGCACGACCAAAAACACATAGCTACTGTCAATATGGCCTTGTTTACTGACACTTGAGTTGTGGTCATATGATGAATTCAAAAATTCCAGTTGCTTTCCATACGTTTGCAAAGTGAGGTTCCAAACTTTTTACCCATGCTGGCCATTCGCCTTTAGTTATTGTCAGCCATGCAACGATACGTGTTGACCACTCACTCCAATCTGGTTAGACTTGAAAGGGTAATAGATGCTTGCTCGGTTGAGGGTAGTGGAGGTGTAGAAGTGTAGTGGCTGTTTCCTTCAGAATTGGACCGGAATTGATGGAATCGTTAGAGATGATGTGGATCTGATTGTTGCGGCATGAAGGTTCTTCATTAATAATTTCGACAATTTGCTTTTGAATACTGCCAAATTTATGCCAAAGGGGCTGATTCGATTAGAGGCTTCCTCCTTGTTGTAACTCATGGGCAAGAAATTGGCTAGCCATGGTTGGAATGTTTTGACAAAGATGACGTCGAAAACTAGAGAAAAAAAAATTAAAAAGAGAAAGAGAGAAACTGTTACAAATTCACGATGATGATCATGTTTTATAATGAGTTGGAGTTGGCAAGGTTTCTGAGTCCTAAGTGATGAAGAATTATGGTGGTGCTACAGTAATTGGAGTGGCCAGGTTTTCGATTCCAAAATGGAGAAGAAACGTAAACAGCAAAAGTGAAAAAGTGAAAAAGTGAAAAAGGGTGAAAAGGAAAGAAGCCCTTGAGGAAATTTGGGGCTTACAAAAGAGGACAAGGGCACAGAGAAGTTAAGTATTGTCACTAAGGTTCTAAATTTTTGACACCTACTTTCGTAAGGCCAAAAATTGGGGGCAATGTTTACACCTAATTTTACAACAAATAGAGTGCTACCACGTGTCACCCATGTTGGCAGATATTTTATTGGTTGAAAGTTGGTGTGAATCTTTTTGGATAAGATTGAGTGGTTTATTTCCACAATGGCAGCAAAACTGTTCTCTTGTTGCGAGTTTCCAAGAGGATAATCAGCAACATAAACAAATTAATTGATTTGTTGCAGATATCACGTTGCCGTTGATTTTTCAAGATGCTGCCGCAGATCTCCACTATGCTGCTAAGGTGCTATAAATACCTGATGATGAGATCAAGTAAAGGATCGACATCACACACAACAAACTCAACACAATTTCTCTTTATGCTCAGATTCATCTTAGTTTCAAGCCCTTTAATTTAATTTCAACTCTACGCTTCAACCTAGATTAGTTTAGTAATTCAACTCTTCATTTATTGGATTTGTAATGGTGAGTTTCATTGCCTTCAGTAGTATTTCTTTGTGATCGGATTGCTTCTATTCCTTTTGTCACGCCACAGAACCCAAATCCGAGACGCGACAGACGCCGTGCACTCGTGAGAGGGTCCCACAAATGCACAAGGCTCGGAACTTATCATATCACAATCTGATACCGCAAAATCTGAAGATCAAATTTTATAATTTGCTCTGATACCATAACATCTCCAAATACACTCTAGCTTACAAGATCATGATTTATTTCTAAAATCTATATCAATCTCGAAATGGATAGCTATCTAACTCGTCACTTCCCGCGAATTCCCCGTCCTCGGTTTCATTTCCTGAAATGGTGGACAAGGAAAAACTATGAGATAAACTCAGTAAGTAAATATGGATTGCCTTTAATTAAACTTATAGCATGCCAACATGTGCAATCACGAAAAACGGATACAATACGGGAATGAAATAAACGTCTCCTCTATAGGTCATGGCCAGCGTCTAACACCCACTGGCAAGCGCAGTGTTTGCTGGTGTATAATCCTCATAAGCAGGGTCACTATTTGCTGGTGTATAATCCCCACAAGCAGGGTCACTGTTTGCTGGTGTATAATCCCTACAAGCAGTGTCACTGTTTGTTGGTGTATAATCCCCACAAGCAGG